ATTGCCAATACTTCAGCCTATAACATGTGTATAAGATGCTGGAACAGCGTTCGGCGGTGCTGAATGGGTGTAACAGTGCCAAGGCCCTCATTAAAGAATACATAGCATGGAAAGTAAAAGATTCACACTGAGATGGCAGAGGTGCGTGTGAGAAACAGTTTTGGTGCAAGAGTGAAGCCTGCGTGGGGATGTTAGCATGTAGCAGTTAATTTTATGTTTGTTAAATGCAGGTGTCGTGTGTGGGAAGTTTGAGTTTCATGACAGAAGAGAAAGCTTTGTAGTGACTTTTTAATCAGTCTACGTGAAGAGTGGGAGTTTTAAGCCTAACTTTTCATTCCTTACTTTGTTGCAAAGATATTTTTATGAGATGTAAATCACGTTCACTCACCTTTATAAGGCCTCGGAGTTAAGATTTTCTCTACAGCACTTGAAGCCCTGAGTTATTAACAGATGAAAATAAGCACCACATTTTTTTACCCAAAGAGACATAAAAAAGAAAGTTTTAAATCCATGTTTAATTGTAAAAAAATAAAATTTGAAGCACAAAAGGTTTTTTTTTACTTTATTGCTTAAAGGAAAAAAGTGAAAGTTCTGTCACCGCTTACACTATAATGTCATTTCTAACTTGTGTGAGTTTCTTTCTTCCATGTAACACAAAAGTTTTGAATGATAGTTTTATATGAGGAATAAGGTGAGAATTTTACCTTAAACCCTTCCTTGACAGCTGGAGTCTCCATTCAGGGCTAAACAATGAGGCTGATAATTAACTTGTTAATTTTATAATTATTGATTAATTTAACATTTTATGACAAATAAATGTATTTGAGTTAAAAGGTATAATAATGCATAATATTTTTTAATAATATTAAAATACATATTAAATAAATTCCTTACTGTTGTTGTATGGAACAAAGCAACTTGGACATTCAGCTAAATAACTCCAAATGTGTTTTTCCTGAAAGAAAAGACATTTCTGGGTGTCCAAAGACAGTGAGGGTAAGTAAAAGAAGAATTTCATTTTTCAGTGAAGTATTCCTCTAATATGGGTAATAGCACAAATATTTAGATGTCCTTAATGAAGTCAAGAGCTACTTTAATAAGAGTATACAAAACATCTTTACACTGTTTTTCTCTGCTCTTTATACAGGCCTTGGAAAATATCTCATACAAGCAGCATTCATGTTTTTTCTTAGAGGCTTTTAATGACTGAGATCGTTCCTTGTTGTTGTACGTTCTCATCATTGTGTCCTTATTGCTGTTCAATGACTTCCTGTGTGTGATTTTCTGGTAGTACATCAATCAAAAGCAATGTAACGGTTGTTGTAAGAAGCCCATATGCACAATATAACACACGACTGCACCTAAGATGAGTGTCTGATTATATAGTCAGTAAATATCAGTATGAGTGTGGCCATGTGAGCTTTTCAGCTATTGAAAAAGCTCCTCAGAAAGCTCGATCTGTACAGTATTTGTTGATGTGAAGTTACACAGGGACATTTATCCTCACTTAACAAACTCAAATTCCCTTCACTTTACAGAACCGAAAGCCCAGACTGCTGAACTCAGTGAAAAGCAAAGAGGAACCGCTCTGTAAAATGTGAATATATCAATTAGTAATGTGGCCATGACTGCTGAGAGTTTTGAAAGATGGTGATTTAAGGCCGCAGCCAGTATACTAGACATAGACTTTTTCAATTAAAAAAAGGAATAGACTTGAAAGTAAAGGTCATTTTTTAGACTTTCCGGAACATCCATGCCACATGAATGGATCGATTTATAAAAGCCTCCCCCGAATAACCACAACAAAGTAAATCACATAGACAAACATTACATTTAAAGTGCCCCTATTATGGGTAATGAAACGTTCATATTTTGGTTTTGGGAGTCCCCAACGACAGATTGACATGCATGCAAGGTCAAAAAACACTTTCATTGTCTTATAATATGCATTTATTTTTACCTTATTTGCTCAACGACTCCCAAACAATTCGTTTAACGATTCATTTTTCCAAACCCCTCCTTTGCGTGATGCTAATCTGCGGTGATTGGTCCGATTGGTCTCATTTTCATTTCATAATGCCTCATAAAGCAGCCTCTGTAAGCGCAGTGCTGCTTTGTGTTCAGCGTTACCGAGGAAACCGCTATTTTACCGCTCCAAAAGCGGCACCTAGTGGCAAAGAATGAATTTGCATTTTCATTCATGCCAATGCTAAAAGACCAGCAAGTGGGCGGGCAACATGCTAATGTTTCATGTTGACGTCAACATGAAACGGCTTGGGATTCGTTTTAAAAACGACTCGTTTCAATGATTCAGAGTCGACTCTTTATTTTGAGAGACAATAACTTTATACACACGGTGCACTTTCAGATTTAAAACTTTGCAAGATGTTTTCATTCACTTAGAGCTATGTTACACACTGCATGAAAGGTAATTTTCAAAAATCCATAATAGGGGCACTTTAAACCTTTATTTTGCCCATTCATTGCCATTAAGGTCTGAAAACATAAGCTGTACAAGCAGATGAAAAAGCAGTTGTGCACGTATGGTCAAGGCCATTTAGCTGTTTACCACGTCACATCCTGAGGTAAATTGGGTTGCTTTAGCTATACATCTTTGTAAATATCCGTTACTCCGTTACATCTAATCTGCAGTCAACAACCGCGGTCTCCAACTTGTATTTCCAAGAATTTGCTTACATAAACCAGCAACCAGCGGTTGTGTAAGGTGTAATTGTTTTGCAATCTCCAGTCACGGTCACTCGTCCCTTATTCTGCGGCGGACCTGAGCTCAAACGCAAGGACACAGCAAAAATAATAGCAGCGGGAACGGATTATGCACCCTCCCTCACAGGAGTGTCAACATAATGACGGCTATAGCCATAGAGATAATTGTGGCCAAATGCTTTCCTGTGTCAGCTTAAAAAATAGCTGGACTGTTTAAATGACAGGCAGACTAATATTTAACCGGAGATTTTCTCTGAGGAGAACGAGAAAGAGGAAGTGGGGGTTGGCAGCTCGTCGGGCCGGCGTAACCGCGGCGTCTGTAATTACCCTGAATATGCCTCCAGGCTGGCCTATCAGAGGGCTTCCTCGGACACTCGAGTGTGGCGCATGGCATGACATTTGATCACTCTCTTATCATGTGTGTTCCTTTTGGGAGCGGTGCTGGCTTTAAAGGGGGGATTGCTGGGCTGTACCGGTCTGATAACCCCCTCAGTTTGTCGAACGCCACACACGCGGCCACGGCTAACCACTGACCTCATCTCTGACTAAAGAAGTGTGTGAATTCAACCCAGGTTAATGTTTGACAGGTTAACGCATGCTAATGGGCTCAGAGAACCAGAGATTATTTACTTACCACTGGATATCCTTCACACACATTACCTTAAAGAGGGTACTCACGCTGAAAGTGTAAATGTAGGTGGAGATGTGGGTAATGTGAGTATATGTACTTGGTAATCGCAGCGTTTTCTATTCTCTTATTACCTCATACATCTCAAATACCTCCAGACAATTTGTCCATACGTCTCCTTTATCAGCAATGCAGATACGCTTAGTTTCTAACTTGAGCAATGTATATCATTCCCGTGGAGACACTCGGGGTATCAGCTTTGAAGGCAGATGTTGTTGAAACGGAAGCTACAAACCACAGGCAACAAAATCACTGGTAGGTTTAACGCTCTCACGTTTGTAGGCGTATCACGTAGGCGTTTGTGATCGAAATATGCTCCAGTTTCACTACAAATGACATGTGTTTCATTGTAATAAAGATGTTTTTCTCTTCCTATGTTTCAAAAGTATACTTACAGTAGGTATGGTAACAGATTATTAGTTATTTTCAGAAGCTCATGTGCGTCTACAGATTTTAATTTTTTTTATTAAGGTTCTATTTTGGAGGCAGAAAAAGATATTTATATAAATCGTTGTGACAGAAATCAATTTACAATCAATCAGTCACAGGGGTCCACAGAATATTTACAGAGAAAAATAAATCACATAATGTATTTTCTAGGGCTGTCAAAGTTAACTTGAGATATTAATTAAATATGATTAACAATCATTTTTAAATCATTTACCAAATTTCATATTAATACTCTTTCATTCTGCTATTGGAAGTCATGAAATTACTAATTGTATTGACATCTTTAGTTTATAACATTAAGAAAAATTAATTATTTTTTAGTTTTTGTTGGTAGATGCTGGTCTGAATACTTTCCGTACCCACTGTATATATATATATATAATTTTTATTTATATATTTTTAAATAATTACCTAGTACAAGATTAAAGTCAATTATTTAATTTAGGAAATGTCTTTATAATATCATGTTTAATATTTCTAACACGGTGGGTCTTTATACATGACATTATATAGCAGTCTTTATATTTTTCTCTGTTTTTGTAAATTGCCTTGAAAAGCAACCTTTAAAGATGCTACACTACAGTATATAAAAATTAATTTAAATAAATATTAGTTTAGTACTGTTATTATAATCATATTTGAGGTTCCCGAGCATTGAAATGTTTGAAAACGCCTGTTCTTGTCTATCCCATCTGACCCTAATGTAAAGAAAAATTACATTTTGTTTGGTCATGTGTTATCTTGCCTCTGGTGCCCCCATATAAAATGTTGCACGTGTCAGCTCTGGTTATCTTAATTGTTTAAAATTGTGTGGCTCCTAATTAACACATGCAAATGAATCCTAATTGCTCTTACTAATGGGCCATGCTCTTATCAATGAATTTATCATAGTTTTCTCTTAATTGTGAAAAAAGGCTGAAATGTGCTTGATTGATGCTTATATCATGAATATATAGCAAGCTTTTGTGGAATTTGACATTTTGATAAAGAAAGAACAGATGTGTGTGTAAAGGTTCCAAAGGAAAAATGCATTCAGGCTCCATGTTTGATCACTTTCAGCCTAGCGAATGCAGTTTGTGTGCTCTCTCAGTGCTAATTGCAGTTTAGCGAACAGTGACAAAGTTTCTCTCTCCTGCAGGATTTGGTGACCAATGTGTCACCGCGAATCGTGCGTGGGACTACCTCAGGTCACATTTTCGGTCCTGGCCAGGGCTCGTTCCTCAACATCGAGCTCATTAGTGAAAAAACAGCCGCCTACTGGTGCAAGAGCGTGGCCGAACTCAAAGCCGACTTCCCCAAAAATGTGAGTTCACTTTCAGCTTGTCTTTATCTCATCTCTATCTCTCCCTCTTTTACTCTTATTCCCACAGAAGTTTTCTCATAATGTGATTCATTACTTTGTTTCTCACTTTTTGTGGCTGGGGAGCCTTGTCAGTGTTTTATCAACAGCCATAATTCTCCATAATAGAGGTGCCATCTTTTTCCCTCGTTTTCTGTCCCTCAGTAATTTGAGTCACTTTTGCTCTGTGCATGTTAACTGCTTCACGAGTAATTGTGTAATAGAATCTCACTAATAGAAGATTTTCCAAGGCCTTCATTCTCTTCTCCTCCCTCCTCTCAGTTGCTCTGCAGGCAGATGACAATAGCTTTTTGTAGTGTTCTTTTCATCGCAATCAGCCATCTCTTTTCTCTCTAATCATTTGCAATGAGACAGCCCGTTTGAGCACAAAATAACTTCCTCAACTTTGTTGTCTGCCTGCTTCACTCAAGGGTGAGATTAATTTTGAATTACAGGGTGTAATTATGAAGCACAACGTCACTTTTCACACTAACCCCTTGAATCCCTCCTTCACACAGATGTGTCTCTGGGTTTATTTTTTTTCAGACTGACTTTTTTTTTGAAGTTAGAGTTTGGAGTTAGCATGTTGTTAATATTACAGTGGAGTAAAGTAAAAAACAATACATATCACAAATATTTTGGGCAAAATAATTAATTTTAAATACATGCTTTTCAGTACTGAATGAAATTTCCAAAGTAACCTATGTGACTGATTTATTTCAGTAGAATTCAATAGGTGGGTAACATTACAATCATGCAGTAACAGTCAAAATGGTGGTAGCTTCAGCAGTAAAATGTATTTAGGTAGTTATTGCATAATATTTCTGTTTAATAATTCCTATAGTTGACTTTTGGTTATGCTACTGCAAGATTAATCTGATAATAGATGAACGACATACAATACAGTTTATGTCACTAGCACTAGTTGTATAACTAACATCTATTGTCCCATTAAATAGCTTTAAATGTTTATAAATAAGGCATTTGCACAACGTAGAACGTCCCAGGTTGTCATCTATAATTACGACAAGACATGAACGCGCTATTTGACATTAGCATGTTGCTAAGCTAACAACATGTTTACTCTGGTAAACATTGCAATGCATAGCACTCACAAATATTGCACAGCATAGCTTTTACCTTAAAGGGTTAGTTCACCCAAAAATGAAAATTCTGTCATTAATTACTCACCTTCATGTCGCTCCAAACCTGTAAGACCTTTGTTCATCTTTGGAGCACAAATTAAGATATTTTTATGAAATCCGAGAGATTTCTGACCCTGCAGAGACAGCAATGCAACTGACACATTCAAGGCTCAGAAAGGTAGTAAAGACATCGTTAAAATAGTCCATGTGACATCAGTGGTTCAGCCGTAATGTTATGGAGCTACTACATTGCTGTCTATGTGGTAGATCAGAAAGCTCTCAGATTTCATCAAAAATATCTTCATTTGTGTTTCGAAGATGAACGAAGGTCTTATGGGTTTGGGACGACATGAGGGTGAGTAATTAATGACAGAATTTTAATTTTTGGGTGAACTGTCCCTTTAAGGTGTTAATTCTACTTCATCTGACCCTAAAAAATGATTTTTGTTGGTGTAAGCCAGTGAATTTGATTCGGTCATATTAAATATGTGTGACTTTTGTCAAACCAGTTAATTTAGAAATAGCCACATGAAGCATTCTTTTTACGGTGTGGGTAAATTAATCAGTTTTTATTTACACTGAACTACTTTGTGAATTAAATAAGTTTATTTATGTCAACACTTCTCTCAATTCACCTCGTCCATCATCTTGGATTTGTGTTTTCACTTCTCTCTGCAGTGCATCCCAGAATTGCCTTCTCCAAAGAGAATATATTACAGTTTGGCAAAAAAAAAAGGCATTTCAGGATATTCAATCATAATTGAAATGCCGACATTTAGTTATGCTCCCTTAAAATCGTTCCTCTGTAGGCAGCAAACCCAGTTTTGTAACAGAACATCTGTCATATATCCAGTGAGATAAACATAATCTACACACCGAATAGTTCCGTAAGACTCTCATTGATAATGCTCATCGATTTTGCGAAGGTTTCAGCTATTCAACACGCCCATTATCTCCATTTACTATTTACAATTTCCATTTTCCCCCAACGCTCCTCGTCAGCATGTCGTGACCCACGCGGGCCACACTCTAGGGAGCGTTGAAGTGTGTGTTCGTCGGAGCTCATCACAGCGTGTGACTGGTTCGTGGTCAGGGGTGATGGGCACACGCCGCTGGATGAAATGAATACTCAGAGAAGCGTAATGAATAACAAAACCACCGCAATAATGTCAAATTATACTGGCTCACACATTTCAGCCCCACAGACACACTCTCTGCGAGGCTCACGAGAGGTTAGGAACACGTCTGCATGATCTGAATAAATGTGGTGCATAGAAGAAGAAGCTGCGACCCCACCCCCTTTTCTCTTTTTAATTTCCTCATATCACCGCATGATTGACAGTTTCCACAGCAATGGGGGTCCCTAGAGGGCCAGTGTTGGCGGATGAGCTCGGTTACCTCAGCACAGCATTATTAAAGCGATAACAGGGTGATTCCTGCTTCTAAGAGACGCAGCCTGTCTCGCTCACTCCCTTTTTTCTGTCTGATTAAAAAAGGATAGAGCAATACCATGCATGCACATTCACAGACTTATTTCATCTCAAACTCGAGTTTCTAAATGCGGGATAGCAAAAAAAACGACTTTATGTATATAAATTATATATACATTTTATAAATTTATATATACATATATTATGTATATATTATGTAATACAGTATATTACAGATAGACATGTATAGACAGAGATCCGGCCCTCAGTTGTCCTCCTGACACCAATATAACATCGACACCGCTTTTCTAGCCATGCCTCGGCCAAAATGTACATGATTGCTGACTTGCTCTTATATTATAGATATACATGTGTATATACAGAGACCCGGTCCTTAGATATTCTCCTGACACCAATAAAACATTGACGCCACTTGTGTGTGTGGTTGAGCGGAGCTCCCAGGGGTGAGCGGATGAGAGGAGGTGGGGTTAGAGGCACTACAGGTCCCGGCGAGATCCAGGATGGATGGACTCATAAACTTCAACACATGCTTTGGCCGCCAAGCGTTTCTCCCAGCGCCTTCCATGCCAATTTGTTTCCCTTAAAAGCGCCGGGCGAGGAGGAGACACGTGGCGTATATCTCTCCGCTTTATGGTGCGATTACAGTGTCTCCGCATACAGTGAGAGTAATACAGCTAAATCCTGCCTTGCCACAGAGGAGCTGAATAATGCCGTCAGCATGATGTTTTTATTGTTTTAATAATACGTGCATGCCACTGGGCGTCTACAAACGCACTGAATTATAAAGCAGCACAGTTTAAAGCAGGGTAATAGCTTTTGCTGGGATGTTAAAAAATTAAATAAATAAATGCGGATTGGAAAAGTGGTGGATTTAGTGCAAGCAAATCAGGTGAAATCGCACTTCATCAGTCATTTTCATTCCCCCTAAGGTTTTTTCTATTCTTCTTTGTCTAGATTATCATTGCCAGTATTATGTGTGGCTACAACCAAGCTGACTGGACTGAGCTGGCAAAGATGGCTGAGGTAAGCTGCCATTCCTTGTGTGTTTGTGTTTGGCAAGTTTGCTCTGTTTGCTCCTTACACGTCTCCCAACTTCAGAGATTAATCAGGCTTATTGGAAGCATGAAAAGTAAATTAAACATGAATCTGTGAAATTAGTTAATGTTCTGAAGATCTTGTTCTTCATGATATCCATTTCATTTACATGTTTGAAAGTCTGTTAATGTGAAGGGTTTTTTTTTCCTCGGCATATCACAAAAAGAAGCATTTGTTTATCACACGCATTCTCAACACAGTGACAAACACAGTCACATCCATATTCATAGTGTAAAGCCTCATTGGTTCTGTGGAAAGAGGCTTTTACATTAAATTTGCATTAGATACTGTATCATTGGATTTCAGCCTTTCGGGTGACACAAGCCAACTGTGCTCACAAACTGTGAATGAGAAGTTGTAAAACTTTATAAAATGTATGTTTGCCATAGCCGGAACAAACCCTCTTCCTCTATCATAACCACAATGACCCTGACAGACTAAGTGTGCTTTTCTTTGTCAAATGGCCAAACAAAGGCTTGATAATTCAGCCAAATATGAACATTGTTCATCAATTACCCACTTCATATTGGCGTTTCTTGCTTGTGTAACACAAAAGGAAAAATGTTGAAGAATACTTGCCACTCTTTTCCACACCATCAAAGTAAATGAGAATCCAGGCTGTGCAAATTGACCATAATATAATTTCTGTCATGTCGTCTTGGAGAGTTTATGGTAGTATACATGGCAAAGTTAATATGTTTGGTCTTGGCAGAATAGATCTTCTACACTGCTGCAGCTGAGCAAAGACAGAGACTTTCTATTGCCAATACATCCAGAAACCTGCTGCTGTGAGCATGTAAGAAATACTGCTGCTGCACATATAACATGAAATAACCCTCGTATATATCATATATGAAATTACCCCATAGCAGATCTAAACAGGTGGAGCTGGGGAAGGTGGAGGGTTTCTGAAGCGTGCTGCAACTGCTGGCCAGCAAGCACTGGCCAAGTATTTAAATGTTAAGCAGCAAGCTCATTGGCTGCTGATGCACCTAGAACCAATTGGCTGTGCCATGTGAATAATGATGTGATTATGTCAGACTGAGTTAGAACCTATCAACCTGTGCCATGCATCTAGAGTTTCATGACAGAACTTTGTATATAATATACCAGTTAAAAATTATTAAAGTAAGATTTTTATTGTTGAATTTGCACTCAAGTCTTCAATGTCACTTAATTCTTTAGAAATCATTCTAATATGCTGATTTGGTGCTCAAGAAATATTTCTGTTAAAAACAGTCACTTCATATTTTTGTGAAAACCGTGATACACTGTTTTACTGCCCATTTTTGATTAACTTAATGCATCTTTGCTAAACAAAAGCATTAATTTCGTCCAAAAATTAAATACAAATTTTGAATGAGAATAAAATAGAACATAATCGAACATATGTAATATGTATGTCTTTCTTCACCTTTAACTGAATAGACCTGCAGTCTGGACCTCCAATTTAAAACCACTAGTATGAACTACTTTTATGATACTTTATAGTACGTTTTTTCCTAAATAACAACAAAGACGGATGAAGAGAAACCATACAGGTTTCAAATAGGATGAGTAAATGACAGTTTTTATTTTTGAGTCAACCATGCCTCTAAACCCCCAAACAGTTTTTGACAAATTCTGTCCTAACAAGGTAAGACTGAAGCACCTCTTCCTAAAATTCACAAATGCAGGAGAGCTGCATGTTTAACGTATACTTGAAGGTTTCTGCAGACTGACGTTATTGCATCCGACGTAAGTGTGTGTGTGTTCTCTGAGGTGTTATAATTCCCGCTGGATCTGTTTCGTTCTGTATGTAAACAACCGGTGCTGATTTAGACAGGACGTACAGTATGTAAATGCGGACAGGACCCTGCCATCACTAACACTTACTGCTGCTGGTGCTCTAATTGAGGTGTCGTACGCTCTCGTACCTTTCAGTTTATCTCCTCAACGCCCTCACACACTCACTCACACACACAAATGCCCTCAGCGAACCCACACACATGTACGTTTACATTGAGAAAACCCAGGAGAAGATTTGGCTCGTGCAGCGAGGAGGCTGGCGTGACAGTGAGCTTCAAGACCAATGAGGAAGACATGTTTGTGAGGGAGTTTAGTGGGAAGTTTCGTGTACAATCATGTCAAGTCATTCAACTTTAGTATCGTTATGACAATCTTCTTCCTCCTCAACATGCCTGTGATATAATACACATTACAAAACAACCCACACTATGGTCCTGTTTACACCTGATATTAAGGGCTGTCAATTGAATAATATATAATGATGTAATAATTATACAGTGTACCAAACAATAATGGTACGAAACGTCTTTCTTTTTAAAGTACTTATAAAGTAAAAGACTATTATGAATCGATTTTTTTTTTTTACGAATCAAGAGCATACAGTGCGACCAGTGGAATTTGATTCCCAAAATGAATGTCTGTTATGAACTGATTCTTTTTAGTGAATCAAAAACATACTGTTCAGTGCAAAGAGTATAGTGAAACAAATGAATAAACCGGTGAATTGGATCTTTGAATGAATAGTCTATGGCTTGAATCAGTCTGAAACACTGCTCTGTATAAATGTAGCTTTTCTGAATTTATGACCATATACATTACCATTCAAAATGTTGGGGTCAGTCGGATTTTTTTTTGTTTAGTTTTTTTTTTAAAGAGATTCAAATTTTTATTTATCAAGGATACATTACATTGATCAAAAATATTCCATTTCAAATAAATGCTGTTCTTCGAACTTTCTATTCATCAGAGAATCCTGGAAAAAAAATGTTTCCACAAAAATATTAAGCAGCATAACAGTTTTCATCATGATTAGTAATAAAACATGTTTTGAACAGAAAATCAGCATATTTGAAAGATTTCTGAAAGATCATGTGACACTGAAGACTGGAGTAATAATGCTGAAAACTTTGGATCACAGGAATAAATTATATTTAAAATGTAAAAAAAAAAAAAAAAGGATTAAAATAGGAAATGGATATTTTGAGATTGAATATCATTTCATAATATTACTGCTTTTACAACAAAAATAAATAAATAATAATATAAATAAAAGATCAAATAAATGCAGTCATGGTGAGAGTCATCTTATGATATGATTCACTGAAGAAGGCTTGCTGCCGAAAAGTTTGTTGTTTGCTCTGTTGCAAAATTAACATAAATTGAAAGTGAATAAGAAGATTAAGCGAGTGCGGATCCCTTACTAGAATATGATGTTGCAAAAACATAAAAAAATAAAATCTTACCAACCCCCCCTGGACTCAAGCTTTTAGGCATTTGAATCAGAATTTTGATGCGTCATGCTTTGCTTTAATTAATCTTTCAAAGACACAGAAGATATGAGAGCAGTCTTTCTGTGGCGATGAAGCCTCGCATATTCTTGCTTTAGCTGAGAAGGGTCCGAGAAATTTCTTAATGCCGATCATTAATTCATTCATTAAAGAAGTGCACAGTGTTAAAGGTCCCAACAGAATTGTCTATCAAAGGTGCTTTGACGTAGCTATGAGCTGGATTGGGCCGGGCAGCGTGGCTTTGATCACACTGGAGTGGTTAGTTCTTGTCAAAGTTAGTGTCAAGTCTGATCAGTGTTTGTGTTGAGGCCTCTGGCTGTCTAATGGAGCGTATCCAGACTCACTCTGTCTCACTCACTCACACACACACACACACACACACACACAAATATCATTTTTCGGAGTCCTGCAGGTAAGTCACAGCTCAAAGCCTGGGCCATATGGAAAGACTGAAATCATCTAGGCTTACAAATGGAAATCTACTATACATGCAAGTACTTATCTTCGTCTTGACAAGCGCAACAGTTGGCTTTTGTTTCCTGTTCAAGTGCGGCGCTTTGATGTGATGCACTTTTTACTATTTCTGGATAAGAGGTCATCAGCTTTGAAGTTTTCTGTTGTATTAGGTACATGAAAGCTCTTTCTTATAACACACAGGTGATGCTCTTGTTTTCGTTTCGCCATTGTTAGGATTCACAAATAGAATTACTTAAATTCTGTCCAATATTTCCGTAATTCGCAGGTGGAAAACTCAGAAAGGGGCTGAATGTTAAGGTGCATTGTGTATAAATATCATCTGTCCTTGGTTGCGACTCTCCTTGTTGAGTCCACCAGCCTCTGGAAACACAAGAACGGTTCATCAGGGGCTTTATAAATTTGGTTTCGGTGGCCATGCAGCTGCATACAAATCTAAGATCACCACAGAGCAAAGGCAAGCATCAGCTGGAGTGGTGAAGAGCTCGTCACTATCGGGCTCAGCAGCGGTGGAAATACATTCTCTGATTAATCACTCACTCTTCACCATCTGGCAGTCTGACAAACGGATCTCAGACTGACGTGAGAATCTGAATCTGACAGAGAGGGCTACCCACATTCCCAACCTTCCACGCATGCATATTGCCAGCTGTAAAGTTTGATGGAGGTGGAATAAGAATAGTGTAGGGCTTTCACGGTCATGTTAGTTTTTCCCTTTAGGGAAGTTATAACACATTGACACACACAAGAATTTAATAGTAAGGATGCATTAAATTTATATTTATTATGTTACAAAAAATTATATTTCAAATAAATTCTGTTCATCAAAAAATACTGAAAAAAGTATTACATTTCCACAAAAATATTAAGCAGCACAACTGTTTTTTAACATTAATAAGAAATAAGAAATTAGCTTTGCCATTACAGGAATAAATTGCACTTAATATTTTAAAAATATTAATTCACAACATTATTGTTTTTACTATATTTTTGATCAAATAAATGTAGCCTTGGTGAGCGAATTTTCATAAACATTAAAAACTTCACACAAAAGAAAGAAAGAAAGAAATACTTTGTAGTATGCCGTAGAATGCTTTAATCTGATTGGTTGACGAATGTTCAAAGGCAGGGGTGCCCAAACTCAGTCCTGGAGGGCCGGTGTCCTGCAGAGTTTAGCTCCAACTTGCCTCAACACACCTGCCGGGAAGTTTCTAGTATGCCTAGTAAGGCCTTGATTAGCTGCTTCAGGTGTGTTTAATTAGGGTTGGAGCTAAACTCTGCAGGACACCGGCCCTCCAGGACCGAGTTTGGGCACCCCTGTTCTAATGTGTGCAATTATTTTCAGGGAAACTCACGGCTAAAGTAGTTCCAGGATGGTCTTGGCCATATTACATGTCCATATCACTTCGCCAAATGATTTCAGTTATTTCAAAGGCCCTTACAGCCTAAAACAGTAGAGGAACCAAAACCCACAAATACATTGACCAAGCAAAAAAATCTAGTAAACAACAACAAATTATTTCCATGTTTTTGCCACAAAATTATATTTTATTATGTACAGAAAACACACTCTATTTCTCCCGCTGTCTTTCCCTTACAAAGCACACACATACAATATGTACACACACACACACACACACACACTTATACAGTACAGATCCACAGTCACACACACACGGAAACATACATGTGTGCAGAAATGTGTTGTCAGCGTTACTCTTGATGATTTTATCGGTAAAATAGTTTAGCAATTCAAAAGCAACCTGTCATTTCTCACTAACGAGGTAATAACGGAATTCATACATGCTTAATCTCTCTTTCTTTCTCTCTCTCTTTCTCTATCTCTCTCATTAACTGCAATAATGACTGCATTACTATCAATTATATATTACTATATCATTATACTATCAATGGCTCAAGCCTCCGTTACTAGGTCTAAAATGACATTTTAGAATTAGCAACGGAGGCGTGGGATGAGATGCGTAAGAAATTAATCCTACTCACAGGAGCGTTTTAAGGGCAAAAACTTAACGGATGTCTTGACATCATCTAAACAATATATTGAGGTGTGTAGAAGCGAACCCTAGTAGAAGCGGAATAATTGACTCCGTTGAATTATTAGAAAACAACGCACACTCCGCTTCGCATCGTGGACGCATCACCACCTCAGGTGTGCATTATTTTCTAATAATTCAACAGCCCGTCATCAGTTGTGACCCTGGACCACAAAACTAGTCTTAAGTTGCATGGGTATATTTGTAGCAATAGCCAACAATATGTATGGTTCAAAATTATAGATTTTTCTTTTATGCCAAATATCATTAGGGTATTAAGTAAACGTCATGTTCCATGAAGATATTTTCTAAATTTCCTACAGTAAATATATCAAAACTTAATTTTTCATTAGTAATATGCATTGCTAAGAGCTTCATTTGGACAATTTTAAAGGCGATTTTTCTCAATATTTAGATTTTTTGCACCCTCAGATTCCAGATATTCAAATAGCTGTATCTATAGTCCTATCCTAACAAACCATACATCAATGGAAAGCTTATTTATTCAGCTTTCAGATGATGTATAAATCTCAATTTCAAAAAATTGACCCTTATGAGTGGTTTTGTGGTCCAGGGTCACAATTATTCCTTATATATAAAATGTAAAATTATGTAATTTTACAATATAAAATTACTTTTAAAAAAAAATCAAGTAACGAGTAATATTATTTAATTAAGGTTTGGTTTAAGGTTATTGCATGTAATTATGCGTAATGTATTGTTATTACTATAGTAAGTACATGTAACATGTAAAAGACAAAAATAAAGTGTTACATTTAAAGTGGTCCTGTTATGCTCTTTTACCGTTTTAAGTCTTGATTTTGTTTTGGGGGTGTACTAGAACATGCTCTCATGCTTGGTGGTTCGAAAAACACATTATTTTTCACATAATTTACATTATTACAATACCTTTCTCCCCAGCCTGGCACAAACGGCTCGATTAGTTCCGGGTTTGATAAAGGCCCGCCTTACGAAAAACGAAGTGTGTTGTGATTGGTTAGCTGTCACAGTGTGTTGTGATTGGTGAACAGCTTAGATGGTGTTTCAGTACTGCCACGCCCCTTGCCAAAGCAGCAAGTTCCGTCTGCTCTGTTATAGTTAAGGATGGCGTCAATATTGCCATATCAATTTGAGTCAGATTCAGACCCCGAGAATATTGGACAAGAGGATCGCGCAGAACCATTGCACACACAGATATTGCAATACATATTAGAGTGGTAACAAAAAAATATATATTTTTTTAGCTAAATCGCGTTTTAGATACGATGTCAACAACCGCTTAAAAATAACTGCATTTACTATGTACAGATAAGTGCAACGGTAATATGTATTATGTTTATTGTTCTTTAATTCTAACATTATAACATGAATTGCATTTGAAACTGTTCTACAGTTGAATTATTCCTATGTGTAGTAACTGCGTCAAAATGCCCAGCGAGGTAGAAAACATCTGCTGCAAGGAAATTCAAAAGGCACGGGGGTGAAAAAAAACAGCATTTCTTCATGGCGAAAACTTGACGCTACAGCAGCACTTCTTCGTCGTCTTGCCTGATGCACTCAACCAAGCGTTCTAACCACGACCTCGCCCCTCCCCACCCCCCAACCATTCGAATTTCCGTAGGCGGGAATTATTTTAATGATATTCTAAAGGGCCGCTTTGTGACATCACAAAACCCGGAAAACGACGATGTAGTTTAAACGAGCCGTACGTTGTAGTTCTTGAAAAGGGATTTTAAAAAAAAAAACGAAATATCTCACTTTGGAGTGGACTTTGAGATTTTTAACTTTGTAGATCTTTTTTTGACTAAAATTCAAAAAGTGAAAAAGCATAATAGGACTCCTTTAATGGGCGCAGATTAAATGTATACAAATGTTTTTTGTTTTTTTTCTTCATTCAAAATTTATATCGCCCAACATCAGTTCTGACCCCAGTAATGCTCATGTGGATGCAGGAAGGAAACAAATTCCAGCGTTTACTGGAAACCCTTCCCAGAAGATTGTGTTATTGCAGTACGGACCAACCTCATATTATTCTCCATCTTTTGTGGAATGAAATGTTCACAAAGTAGATGTCATCATATTTTTGGCCATATAAAATATTGTGCACCTTATACCAGCACACCTTGGAGTAGATTTGCACAGTTCTGTCTCCTGCCTGCCTTGTCTGTCATTTTGTGTCTCTCAAACCCAGCCAAAGCACTCGCTCACTCGCTCTCTCTCTCACTTGCTATCCCTCTCTCCCTCTCTTTCTTTTTTTCTCTCCTCTCTAATGGCTGTCAGGCTTTAGGAAAGCCATGGCTGTGTGTCTGAAGCAGCAGGTTTGTAGGGTGTGTAGCGGAGAAATCGTTCTGGCTCTCCCCATTTCAGTGCGGTTCAGAACGGCCGCTAGAGAGTAATTGCCTGTTGAATGCTTTCCCACTTCCAGCACCCTCGCTCACTCACCCGCTCCCCATCCACCTGTGCTACCTTTTTTCTGCTTCCCTTTTTTATAAGACGACTCTGTGACAGCTTTGACATGTCAAAGAGTTCTTCTGGGTCTATTTTAAGAACACCATTTTATACTTTTTGAATGCTTGGAAGTGCTCAGGGTGTTTTTTCTTTTTGTTACAGATTTGACTTTTTTTCTTTTTTGTGCAGCTTCTGGGAGGCTGTTTTACATACACTGGCCCCAAAAACTATTTGGACATCTTAATATATTAAAGATCTGTTTATTTCAGTGCAAAATATCAAACCAAGTGGCACAGGCTCAGCACAGCACTTTTTTTTTTTTTACGTCTTGATTTTAATGACATAGTTATGTTTTTTTTAGAGATATATTTTATCAGTTTAAAATGAAAAATCATGTATGACACACGACTGAACTGCTATTTTATTGGATGTGCATATTACATTTAAACTTGGCCACATAAATACAAAATGGATATAAATGAATCTACTGTTCCTGGGTTATATGGAAATAGATAACTATAATAAGAACTCTCTTCACCTAATATGGCAATTATTGTTTGAGTTTCGTGATTGCTGCATCGATATGTCTTATCCATGATTGCATAATGCTTACGTATTTGGCTGAATCTCATCTTGCATGCACCTTAAACCACCTCCTGAGCTTGTTTGAGTGATTGGAGCATTATCAGTTTCAAATGCATCTTGTAGGGCATTTACACCTGGTCTTGTCATGGTCAAATAGCAATCTGATGTGTAAAAATGCATGAAGTGACCATGTGTCTTTTATATGAGATATTTCTGCTTTGGATTTGTTTATCTGTAAATGTAATTTTGCAGTGCAACTATTCTTGCACATACTTAATTACACAAGTGACTTCATGTTCATGGTGTTTTACCTCATTCTTTTGCTTAATAGGACTCTAAAGCTGATGCTCTGGAGCTGAACCTGTCCTGTCCTCATGGCATGGGGGAGAGAGGTATGGGACTGGCCTGTGGACAGGTAAGACAACATTTAAAAAGCACTGCTGAAAAACTCACTCCTGATTTCAAAAATCATAATTTGCAGACCCTTATGTTGTTTCAAACCCGTGTGATTTTCTTTCCTGTGCAAAACACAAAATGAGAGAAATTAAAGCCTGTTTTCCACCCTTTTTCTATGCAATTACCCTGAACAGGGACCAAAGCTTTTAAGCTTCAGTAAAGACCATAAAAGTGTGAAACAGACAGAAATTCAAGTCATTATTCTTTAACTATCTTGACTATGAATGAATGAATGATGCATTTATAGAATGAACCCCTCTTTTTACCTTTTAAATAACTTAGAGCTGAAGGTTGATATTAGGGCGGCACAATATGGGATAATTATAATTGTTGTTGCTGTTGTTGTTGTTGTTATTGTTATTATTAAATAAAGATATAAAATAAGAAATATTGCCTGTAATATTTCTTTAATGTTAAGTCCACTGATAGAGAGTTGCGTTGAGAACCCATGTGCAGTTTACTGAACAAAATACAAAAAATAAATAAATAAAATGACATAAACTGGAGCACTAGATTTTGACTATAAACAGGCTTAACAAAACTCCCCAACAGAAGGTTACAATAACAAAGCTAAGAGACTATAGAAACATGAGGGCTATATATAGATTTTCCTGAAAATGCTCAAGATAATTAACCAATGACAAGACAGAACTGAGAAACTCCTGACAAGACAAACCAATGAAAACAAACAAACAAAGGAAACACATGGCCAGATCACATGAGGGACAAAAGGAGTCACATTACATAAAACAGGAAGTAAGTAAAAGTAAGTACAATTTTATTTATATAGCACTTTTAAAGCTACAACGCACAAAGTGCTTTACACAATATAAAAACACAATCATAAAAGATTGTGAAGAGCTCACAATCTATATAGATTGTGAACATTTATGAAGAACTATACACAATATATGATGAAGCAAAAAAGCCATAATATTGGCAATATGCAAAATAAGACAAAAACATGAACATAAATAAAACCTAGAACATACATGACAATTTCACTCAAAAATAAATGAATAAATAGTAATAGTAATAGTCTTAATTTTGTATTTTTTTACAAGCTGCTTGCATGTAAAATAACACATTGCCGCACCGCACTCTGAAACACACAGCACATATATTTCAATCATGACAACTCTCTGAAGATTTTAGCATGGTGATGGATATGACAATGTTAATGTATTTGGTCTTGGCGGAATAGATCTGCTACGCTGCTGCTGCTGTTGGTTATTGCTGTAGTTGTAGATTATTGCTGCTGCTGCAAGCAAGTACAGGAACTTGCTACTGCCAATGCATATGGCGATACGGTGCTGTGAGTATTTAAGACATACTGCTGCTGCACAAATAGCATATAAAATAACCCGTAGCAGATCTACACAGGTGTAGCTGGGGAAGGTGGAGGATTTCAGAGAAACTCTGAAAGCGCGCTGCAAAATGTGCAACATGAACCAATCAGCTTGTGCCAAGTCGTTTAACTCTCTGAACATCATCAGTTACGTGAACAACCCGTCAGCCTGCGCCATCTAGAGTTTCATGACTGAACTATACACAAATTTATAATTTGACTTGGAATATAGCACAAGATTGTGCTTTTGCTTCAAAAGCTTAGTTTCCACTTCATCATAGCTATATAGACAATAAAGTTCAGCATAGTCCTCATAATTTCACCTTTTGTATTCCAAGTAAGCAAGAAAGTCATATTCCGGAAGACGGGACAGAAGGTGAATCTGGAAATGGCATAAGTTAGACTCAGACTCGGGTCACCTGCACATCACCCGCCCCACCACATCTTCGCTGCCAAGCTGTGATTTTTTTTTCTGCCGGGAGATCCTATAAGCTTCACAAGACATTCAAATGCAGAATAAATGGGCAGAGCAGGTCAGGAGGCATCTAATGGTACCCTATTCCTCTCCAGCTCCCTTCAGCTTCGTTATGGTTGTGAGGGAAGCGGGAGCTGTTTCCCCCCTCAAACAGGACACAAAGCCATTGTGCTCCTGCAGAGGCTCTAAACGAGCCCTGCGCTACCTCTCTCTCTCTCACACACACACACACACACACACACATATGAAGCTAATCACAGCCTGCTGCCTCCTGGCAGCTAACCTCTGTGTGAACTAACGCAAGGCAATATCATTTAATCACACTGTTTGCCACACGCTCTCTTGTGCTCTCTCTGTGGCTGGCTTTCTCTGTCTGTCTGTCTCTGTCTGTCTTTGCTTCCTATTTATTTTTCCCCGTCTTTCAGTCTGGATCACCCCCTCTGCTCCCCCCATCTGTATGTTTCTGTCTCTCCCCCTTATACTGTAGGGAACAGGGGGAGGTCTCGTTGATTGTATGAGAATAAGTAGGAAATTGTGCACCGGTACAAAAATGTATGATTGCAGCCACATACTGTTGGGTATTTAATCAGGGAGTGTGGCCCTCTCTCTGAACCCTGGAGTGTACGGCACACTGGGCTAATGCAGCTCTATCTGGACACAGCGCTGTCGGCGGGAAAACTCATTTAAATTTTACAAAGACAGAAATCAACTCGCAAAGATGTAAACATGCTAATGTTAAACCGTTTCTTTCTCTGAGCGCCAATGCGGGAGAACTTCAGGAATCTTAAGCGAGGCATTGTTTCGGTTCAGGCGTTGCTGGATTTCTCTTTTTATCTGAACTACATTTTGTTCTGTACTAGAGTCTGTTTATGATTAATGCCAAATGTTTGTGCTACAGCTTTGAGTTACTGTGGTTGTGATGTGTTTATCACTGATTTTTCAGACATGGGACAAAACATGCTCAAATTTTCATGCTATTAGTTTTAAAATAGCAACATTTGCACTCTAATTAATCAGAGATGATCACTAGAATGTTCTTAATACAAATGTACCATATTTGAGTTCCTTTTTATTTTATTTTTAAAATTATGATATTACATAAAAAATCACACCCTCTAAAACCACTTGTCCTCAGACTTCATACAGACATATTTTTATAGGAGTATAATATAATATATAACTTAATACTTCATATTATATTATATTATATTATATTATATTATATTATATTATAAATATTATATCCTGGCACAAGGAAAAGCTTAATTCTAAAAACTGTAATAACATACATTGTATATTATACCTGCTTTTTGTCAACACCTTCAAATTTTTATGAAAAATGAAACCTGGCAACATGAAAGTCCTTTTCAATAATTGACCTGCTATGAAGTCAAGACTCTCTCTCTCTCTCTCTCTCTCTCTATATATATATACATACATACATATATTCAGTATAACTGTGTTGACTTCATAAGATGTAAGTAGCTTATATTTTCTCTCATAATGATGATTATGAGAGAATGATGATGACAAATAAGTTTTACAAATTTGTTTTGGATTTTTGATAATTTTGCATTACTAGTAGCAACACCAGAAAAACAAAATCAATGCTGCAAAATATAATTATTTTGTCAATGACATAACTTTTCTATCTCATTGCAGTTATATAATAGTTGGAGCTGAAAGGAAAAGGAAAGAACAAAAAGGAAAAGGAAGGAAAGGGCCAGGAAAATCAATTTTTTTATTAATCCTAAATAATTATTTGATACACATACTTCTACTTTTTCAGTTCTGTAGCCCGTTTTGAATCAGTGATATGAAAATCACCACAGCATCCGGAGATGAAGCAGCTGCTGTCCGTGGTTCTGAAAACAGACAACCCACAATCTGCAGGACAAAATACTTTCCCTCCCAGCTTGATTTATATTTATAGATCCTCCTTATGTGTGATATTGTCTGCGGTGGATGAGATAATGCACCCGTGCCTTACTTTACACCGCCTGTGCTGTGTTTCAGATGTGTTCAAGTCCTCAGCTTCATATATTACCACTTCAGAAGTGTAACATATTCATTGATCTTCCACTGCGCCTTCATGTGTATCAGCCCTTGTTTCAGAGTCTGACCAGAGTGTGTGTGCGCAGTGAGCGATCTCATACTCTGTCTCAATGCCCTCTACTCATGAGATTGATGCGTCTCATAAGTGTCCCAAACCTCGCCGGGACCTGTTCTTCCAGGATTTCGAGGGAAAGGGTTTCAGACACGTCTTGCCAAGGTGCCTCTCTTCCTGCATTCATATCACTGGCGAAGCATGAGCCCTGAGCTCGGAGCCTTGAAAGCCAAGCTTACAAACACTTGTCAGCCAGAGGCCTTTAATAAGCTGTCATAGGCCTTCCCAGCGCCGCTGAGCTCCCCTCTGTGAGGACATTAAGTTCTTACAAGCAGCATCTGTTTCAGGGCCAGGCACCTGCCTCTGGCCCTAGCGCTCCGCTAATGCTTTTCTACCTTCCCTTGACCACGCTCCCTGCTGTTAGCCACTATGTTTTAGCCTCGCCACCGGTGACCTACGCACAGATGGACACGCACACACACTTGCGCTCGCAGACATCTGCTGGCCAGCCTCCATTATGCTCCTGGAAATCTTAATGTGCTCTCAATCTCTTCTGCGAGCCTAAAGGTGGCGTTTTTTTCTCCTCACTCAAGCATTTCATTCCTCGGGGCACCCGGGTCCCATCTCCACCGACAGCTTGCACAGTTTTCCCTCTGTCTTTTGGGTTTTTCTAGCTTCTCTCTGTAGACCGGAGAACATTCTGGTTGCTACCCTCTGACAAGATTTAGTGTGTGTGTGGTTTTCCAGCCTTGTTATAAATGCTCGCTGCCCACATCCCTCCCACGGCCCATACTGGTGGCTATTTTCCTCCAATGCACCACATATCATCCCCTCATGTTCCTCAGCACAAAAGAAACTCGTTCAGACTGAAGATCTCCACCTTGAAAAGCATTGGAGTTTCTCATGTCATGTCAGCGTCCACCGGTTTCCTGTGTTTAGGCGGCAAAATCTCAAGACAGAAACAATAGCTCGAGGGTAAGAGCCACAATAAAGTTTCTCGCGCAGCGATTACAGAGCGTGGCACAGAGGCTGCGTTTCAATCAAACGGGATGAGCTACAACAAGTTAGACAATAGGGCTTTTCCTCAAAAGCGCCTCATTTCTATCTCTTTGTTTGCTGCTTTGTGCTCATCCCTTTCCTTTCACTCACTCTGACACTTTTCCGCCGAAAAAAGGAAAGAAAAAAACATAAAAAAAGAGATGTTTTATGGGCCCACACATGCTATGAACAAACACGCTCATATTCAGAGGAAAACAGAAATGCCCCGAAGCATCGCATTTGCAACAGATGTCTGAGGAGCCCGAAGCCTGGTACGACAGAGGCACATCACATTTCCATTTGGCACATCTCAGCCGTATCTCTGAGTTATGACAGTTTGCGCTACTCTCAAGATGCGCGCCATTCAAATCTCATTCATTATGAATGCCAGTGATTTGGAGGGCTGCCATCACGTTGCTCTCCAGAACCACAGCACCAACAGAGGAGGAGATACGGCTTTGCTATAAAACACACTTTATTCTGCTCCAGATGTTACGAGAGATAGGTTATTTTCCTTCGTTTAAAAGTTCTGAGGGACTCGAGCTGTATCTGATTCAATGTTTTATTTTTGTGACTAAAATGCAGGATGTTAAATGCAGATCTGACTTGTTGCACTCACATTTCTGCCTGCTTAAAGGAGAACTAGTGTTCGAATTACAAGGAGTTTAGAGGAGCCCAATACTCCTTATTTTCAGTCATAACCCCTCTAGTTATCTCTACAATCAGGCTGAGAGGGTGGCAAGCCAACCATCCCTCGAAGTGTCATATACATTTTTTTACAACAGGTCATCACCTCCATAATGTCAGATTGATATTGATTTAAAAGAAATTTACAATGACAATAGCCAGTTGCAATGCTGTATATCTGTGGCAGATATGTGTAGTATAGCGTGGAGTAAAAACAGATCTTGTTTACCATAGTTACCATTTTATTTCAATTGTGATATTGGAAAAACAGATTATATATATTAATTATCAATCAAAATTTTGGTGTCAGTAATTTTATTTATTTATTTATTGTATTTTTTTAAGTTTTATTCAGCAAGGTTAAGTTAAACTGATCAAAAGACAAAAGATTCTAATTCAAATAAATGCTGTTCTTTTGTACTTTCTATTTATAAAAGAACCACAAAAAAAAATCAACACCATTTCCCAAAAAAATATTAAGCAGCTCAACTGTTTTTAAAATTGATAAAAAAAAAGAAGAAATGTTTCTTGAGCAGCAAATCATATTAGAATGGTTTCTGACACTGTAGACTGAAGTAATGGCTGCTGAAAATTCAGCTTTGCTGATATATTTTAATATATATTCAAATAGAAAACAGTTATTTTACATTGTAATAATATTTTGCAATATTACTGGTTCTACTGTATTTTTACCAAATAAATACAGTCATGTTTTTTACCAAATAAAAACATACAAAAATCTTACTGTCACCAAACTTAGTGTATATACTGGATATAAAAGAATAGAAGTTACAGGGGAGACTGGGGTTACTTGTCTCTTCAATTATGAAAAAAATAAATAGTAAAAGGTAATGTACATTTGGTTCTAATTTGAACCAGCATACAAAATAACTGCTTGAGATACACACTGGTGTAACTGGACTTTTGAATCAAAACGTTCTCGTTACTGAGATATAGCACTTTTCCTCGTGGGACAACTAGCCCTGGTCTCTCCTGTACTGGAAAGCAGATCTTTGAGCATTGAGTCCCCTGAAGCTTTGTTATAATTCAAACATTGGAGAACACATACATAAAATGACTACATTCCTATCAGAAAGGTGCACACGAAATATAGATTTTTTTTGTTGTTGTTGCGTACTGAATGAGAGGGAGATGAGAGGCAGAATGAGCGGCCGTAAGAGAAGGCTGGGGGAAGGGAGCGGGAAAAGGCAGCCGCAGAACTGAAAAAGCAACATGACGGCATCGATGTGTTTCAGACGACATGTTCAGACACAACAGCGTTTTCCTCGCTGGCTACATCTGAGAGAGTTCATGAGGGGATCGCTAAACCATTTGGAGTCCTTGGTGTGTGTGTGTGTGGGCGGTAAAAAGAGAGAGACTGTATGTGAGTGAGGAAAAACGAAGAGAGATTGAGAGAAAACACATTTTGAACATTGCCTCTGTGCTCTGTGGCCAGTGTTCGATGAATATTTAGGGTAGCCTTGCTGTTTTAAAATGGACCGGCAGATGAATGTTGTAATGATTTTTACTCATTGTGTATAAGGGAATTAATTATTATTATTTCATTCAGGTTTTGAGAGGACTAGGATCTGAAGAGCCTGATTCAACCTGATTAGAACTGATTCCAAATTTGTTCTTTTACACTTTAAATCAAGGGTCGTCCAGCGCCACGCCCTGTGTTGTTCCTTTTTCTTATGCACAAGTCACATGCTCCGTGGGGCGTATTTCTGATAAAGTATTATCACCAGAGAATGATACATAATATAAAAGTTTCACTAACACCAATGTTCGGCGAATAAGACAAGCTTTCACCCGATATTAAACTTCACATCTCTTACATGCATATTAAATGCTTTGTCTGCTAAAACGAGTTATAAGGCATATTAAAATATCATGGTTTCAATAACACAACACACATATATATATATACGGCATAACACATGCAGTGGATACATTTTCACTACTTTTTAAACGATTTGTCTTTTAAAATCGTCATGCAAGGTTCTGTTTCTTTTGTTGTAACATAAGGACGCGGGTCCGTTGGGGTTTCAGGAAGCAGATGTGATGGGAGTCATGTGTTAGTCACGTCTAGATCGGGCCTGAGGGCACTAGTTAATTTACTCATCCTTTTCCGGTTTGGACATAATGGTTCCATCCATTGGTGGTCACAAGACATCGGGGTTTCTATATGTTGTGAACGAACCTTTTCAGTCCTTGATACAAAGAATATAGAATATTGGACTCATGTGCTGGGTGATTAGCAAACCTCGTGATGGCTGATATCAGTGTCCGTTCATATTTAGAAATCCCTACAATGTGAATGAATGAGAAATGCACCTCAAATGGTATAGTTTTCGCCCTTTGTCATTTTCGATTTGGCATCAGAGATCCTGAATTATCAGCTCGAAGTTCCTGGATGTCCAAAACGAATGTCAGAGCAAGTCTTAAATAGTAGTTTCTTTCTTTAATCCACAGAACCATGTAATGAGACTTGACTTACATCCCCCATCACTCTAGGACCCCGAGCTGGTGAGGAACATCTGCCGCTGGGTCAGAAAGGCCACCACCATCCCCTTCTTTGCCAAGCTCACACCCAACGTCACCAACATCATTGACATCGCCAGAGCTGCGTATGACGGTATGAGCAGCCTCACCTACAGACAAACATATGACAGAAGACACAGTCGTTTTGAGTGCATTTGTAGGTGATTTAAAAAAATATGTTGAGTATGATGGGGAGGTCTTAAACGTGTGTGTGTGTGTGTGTGTGTGTATGTTTCAATGTAATTTATTCCAATGCTGGAAAAGCTGAATTTTCAGCTGCCATTATTCCAGTCTTTAGTGTCTCATGATCCTTCAAAAATCATTCTAATAATATGATTTAGTGCTCAATAAACATTTATTTATATTTTTATTAATGAACAGTTGTGTCGCTTAATAGTTTTTGTGGAAACAATGGTATCTTTTTTTTTCAGGATTGTTGGATGAATAGAATGTTCAAAATAACAGCATTTATTTGAAATAGAAATCTTTGAAACTTTTTTTTTACTGTCACTTTTGATCAATTTAATGCATCCTTGCTGGATAACTGTTAATTTCTTTAAAAAATAAAATAAAATAATAATAATAATAATAATGATGATAATAATAATAATAATAATAATAATAATAATAATCTTACTGACCCTCAACTTTTAAACAGTATTGTACATTCAACTCATTAACCTAATCAGTCATTTTTAAATTACATTTTCAATATGATGGCATTATTATTATTATGTGCACACCATTTTCAGATGGAGGAAAACTTCATTTTGAATAAGATTCTATTGTTTATATTTTCGATGTACATTTACATTACATTTAGTCATTTAGCTGATGCTTTTATCCAAAGCAACTTACAAGTGAAGACAATAGAAGCAATCAAAACCAACAAAAGAGCAATGATATGTAAGTGCTATTACAAATCTTGGTTAGTTTAACACAGTACACGTATCAAGTTTTTTTTTCTTTTCTTTTTTTTTCGTTATAATATATAAAAACGAAACAAGTAGACAGAAGAGGACCCACTTTATATTAAGTGGCCTTAACAACTATGTACTTACAAATAGGATATATGAACTGGATATATTCATATATGAATATGAACACAATAAGTACATTGTACTTAATTTTTGATGTAAGTACATAGTAGTTAAGGCCACTTAATATAAAGTGGGGCCACATAATAGAAAAAGAATAGAGAACGGTAGTGTTACAGGGTAATTTTAAATAATAAAAAAAAGAAGTCGAAAAATTTAAAAAGAATAGACAATGAAAGTGTTAGAGGGTCAGTTTTTGAAAACAAATAAATAAATAAAAAGAAAACAAGTTGAAAGAATAGAAAAAGAATAGAGAATGCATAGAAAAGAAATAGAATAGAGAGTGCAAGTGTTAGATGGTCAAGTTTTTTTAATAAATAAAAAGAAAACAAGTAGATAAAATAGAAATAGAATAGATAGTGCTAGTGTAAGAGGGTCAAGTGTAGGAATAGATGGAAGAGATGTTTTTTTTTTTTTTTTTTGCCATTTCAATGTACAACTATTGTATATGCACCTACGTGGTAATCAGCATATTCTTCATGCAATTTTTTCCTGACTTTCTCTTCTGCTCACTCATGCCATTTATTACACTGCATTATGTCATTAACCCCATCATCCATTCTCATTCATGTTCTTCACAATAGAAGTCAAGAAGGTGAAGGATAAATTGTACAATATAAGCCGGTAACCTTTTTTTAATATAAGATTTGCTGAGTATTGATTTATGCTATTTTGTTACAAGCTTCCTCCTGGCTCCAAATTTGCATTTGATGTCTTACATTACATTAAGACTACATATTTGTATGTCTGTACCCTCATGGATACATACAGATATAAAAAAAATATGTGAATAAAAAGTATATTTTGACATACTTTACATGCACATACATTGATCAAAACTACATTTTAAATAGCACATCTAAAGTATTCTCATACAGGTAAACAGTTATTTATTCATTTCCTTCACACATGCATAACTAAACATGATTTAAAAATGAAATTAGCATGTACTGGCATACCAGTGCTTGTCACTTGGCATTTTCAAGTCACTTTGTACTTCTATAAATCTTGACTTGTTCCTGCTTAACATAGGATCACTTCTATACAAATTAGCATCAAAATGTAATTATGCATGCATTTTATAAATAAGGACCTGCTAAAGGTATGATCTTTATGGCAGGATTAACAATAGCACTGTATTTATATGTTCTGATATTACTGGAACAACGTCTCAATGTAATTTCATGAACACAGTGTGGCTGCTTCAGGCTTTTGTAAGAACCTCTGTGGTTGTTTGTAGGTGGGGCAGATGGAGTCACAGCCACCAACACTGTATCTGGACTGATGGCTCTCAAAGCCGACGCCACACCCTGGCCTGGGATTGGCAGAGGCGCGAGAACTACATACGGCGGCGTTTCTGGTAAGAGAGAGAGTGTGTGTGTGTGTGTGTGTGTGTGTGTGTGTGTGTGGTGTTGGCTGGCGCACTGGCTGCTGAGATGTCTGGGCTTGCTCTGGTCAGGTCCTGCCTGCACAGACAGATGGACTTGATCAGGTGTGAAAGTACTGGGCATGCTCTCTGCTCTCTAGAAATGGAGCTTCAGTGTGGGAGGCTTATAGTAAAAATACATAAATCCAGCTTGAAGTACACTGCAAAAATCACTTTGTCAATCAGTATTTTTAGATTATTTTCCAATAAAAATAAAGTATCCTTAAAACAAAAACAAAAAAAATGATATATTAAGACATAAATTGAATATTATTTTAATTAATAAGATTGTTTTTCATACATTACTGGTAAATTGTTTTTTTTCTTGTTTTAAGCATAAATACAACTCAATTTTGATTTTTTTTTTTAATAAATGAGACTTACGCTTAAAGCAAGAAATAAATAAAATTTAAAAATTTAAATGCAATTTATAGAATTGTTTTATTTTTTTAAATGAACTTGAATTCAAGATTCTAATTATTGTCTTACTTCAAATGTCAGTTAATATTTTTTTATCATATTTTCCAGAAAAAAAATTATGTATACGTGTGTGTGAGTGTGTTTATTTTTTAAATATCCAAAAAAATCCATAAATCCATCCAAAATCCATCCATAAATTCCCTTAAATTAATCACATCATACTTACTACAATTATTTTTCATACATTAATGGTAATTTTTTTCCCCTTGCTTTAAGCATAAAAACAAGATAAATTTTTTTCCTTGTAAACAAGATATATACTTGTAACGAGGCGACAGGGATGAGAGACGTGCAGATCCATTTGCAAAGCTTTATTCATAGAATGGTCAGAAACAGGCGAGGGTCAGACAATGGCAACAGGTATACTGAGGGCAAGACACAAGAGTAATCCGATAAACAGGCATAGGTCGATCAACGGCAAACATAATCCAAAGGGCTTGACAAGAGGGGTAATCCAATAACATGAGCAATAGTCCAGGCGAGGTGCAAACACAGTCCGAAACAGCAAGGCAAAGGGTTAATCCAAGATACACAGGCAGAAGATCAGAACACGAGAAAACAGGCAAGGCAAGACTTTGACTAGACTATGGAAACTAGAACTAGAAACTTAAACAAGGACAGGGAACTGGCTCTGTAAAGTAACTACGCTAAACAGCATAAATGCATAAACAATACTCGGCCCTGAACAGTGGTTAGGGGCTCGTATTTAAAGTGTGTGTGATTGGTTGCAGGTGAGTGCGTAATCAGTGCAATGAAACATGGGAAATGTAGTCCAGGGTGATGTGTGACAGTATGTGTGGTGTGAGTGTATATATAACGGGGGGGCGGCCTCTGGTGGCAAGTGAACGGAAGTCCATGAACAGGATTCGTGACAATACTAATTAAGAAAAAGCGTTTGTAATAGTGTAATATATATTACTGCAAATGTGTGTATTGTCACACACATTTTAAACTCCCAGGTTATACAATCACATGTTCGCATTTACAAATTGCTTTCATTAGTGTTCGGAAAGAACATGTCAATATGTGTCTGTGCGCTTACCACTAATAAAAACAATCTCTGTGGTCACAGACATTTAAACAACTTTTAAACAGCAAACGGTTCACGTATGTGCTTTATAGTTTCAGCTGTGTACAGTTGAGTGTGTTAAAGCTTCACCTCAGCACACCTCTCCCTTTTCCCTTCAGCTGAGCTGCCACAATGTCTGCAGAGGCAAGGACAGGGTCAGAAACACGGCCTGCATTAAAAATTAATACTCATACTATTGAGGCTCTATTTTATGCAAGCAAAACTGACTGGCTGTCATATTTTCACTTTTAAAGTATTATGGGCCTCACCGTGCAGCTTTCCCATGGGACCCAGTCTTGCGGCAATGGTCTAAGACTCTGCCCGAGACCAACCTATTGATCAGCGGGACCCTAAAGGGCCTGTGCGGCCCCACATATTTTATCTGCTCCCAGGACAGTAGCTCTCTTCAGACTTTTTGTTTCAGAAGCCCATATCCAGAGCATAAAACCATCTGCAGAGCATCCAGGGGCACATAAATGTGTGCCGCCCTGAGCTCTCGGTGGAGCTGGCTTGATTCTCTAATGTATTCAGTAATTTAATGTTTAACTCAGCAGCAGTGGCCAGGTTTAAGGTGCTTTGATTTATGTGGCAAGTGGCATAAACTCTAAGTGTGGAGGAAATCAATCTTTTCTGTGACATGTTTTTTTTTCCTCAAAACTTTTTAATCACAGTTTTTGTACTACATTCTTGCATTAGCCACTAATGTTTAGTATAGGGATAGAGAGGCTATTTTAAACTTTTAGTCTAATTCTAACTCATTAGTTGATTAATAAAAAGTAGTTTTTTCGTTACCTGCCCCCATTTCTGTGTTCAGATTTGTTCTAAGTCTAGATGTTCTAAAAGTCTAGATGAGGGATTTTCCATTGATGTAAGATTGAAGAGGTTTCCGTCCATGCAAAGGTCTAAATAATAACTTAAACAGGGGTGCGTTTCCCAAAAGCAACTATGGTCGCAAGTTCTGTCGTTACCAATAGAGTTCAATGGAACTAAGACCATAGTTAGCTAACGATGATTTTGGGAAACGCACCCCAGGTCGGGTTAGGGATGCACCGATGTATCAGCCAATAATCGATATCAGCCATCGGCCAATTGTTTAAAAACAGTCAGTGACTAGGGGCGATTTTATATTCTGTCAATCAAAAGGAGGCAGAAAACATGTGGGAAGAAACAGCAACTTGTGTGTGAAGAAAACATCTCTTGTGTAGAATTTAGGGCTGTTGAATTAATGCAATAATGCATTAATCTCAATCTCACTGCCCAAAAATAGAGCAGTTCTGTTTGAGTCACCTGTAGTTCAAACCAGGGTTTCCAAATCCGCAATTTTTCCCTTTATCAAACATTTTTGTAGCGCACCTCCTATTCAATAAAAGAGCTTTGTGCTTTGTTACTTCTGATAAGAAACAAAGTTTCAGCTCTCAAATAATGTCCACTTCCTCACAAAATTCAAACCATAAATGCTGTTTGACGCTATTAAATGAGGCGACAGCTTGCTTTAGCCACCTCAGTTAAAGCAGCAGCACAATTCATCTCTTCCTTTTTAATACAAGTTATAGTACAAAATAAAATAAACATGACTAAAAATCAGAAAGTATGTTAAAAGATCACTTACTGAAATGTATTATGTAACCACTCAATTGTTTCAATGACAAAAATATATTTATATATATTTTTTTACATCAGGAATGTTATCGAGTGTTCACAGTTGGTTAAATATAATAGTTTAGTCTCGGTTGTTAATCTTAACGTCTAATATTATAGTCATGAATCAAATAAGAGGGTTCCATGTATAGTTCTAATAGTATACAGTATACATGTTAATAGTACTATATTAAAAGTCAACTGAATATCAGGTTATGTAGGATTACATTTAAGTGAGTGACTTAACTCACTTAACCTTTGGGTTATGAGTCCGACTCTCTAACCATTAGGCCACGACTTCCCCTAAGCGACAATCCCCAAAAAGGGGAAGCACACCGTTCCTGGCGACACTGCAATACCAGGCCGATGCGTGGAGTGGAGTGGACGGAGCAAGCCCCGGCTCCAGACTACACTTGATCTGAGCCAAAAGGCCGAGAAGCGATTATAAAGAAGCATTATATTTTGTGATTTCACTGTAACAGAGAGCTGTCGATGAGCAATAGGACAGTGGAGTGTGTGTAAGCTGAACATATTTGAAAGCAAATCACTGATTTTTAGGGGAATGGGATGAAAAACCAAATATGGTCTAGTATCGCCTAGAATTTATCGTAAATTCTCTGATTGACATTAACAATACCTTGTGAAAGTTAGAGGTCATAAACCATCGACAGTCTCTCAAGATGTACAGTACAGAGCAGAGCTTCTCAAGCTGTAGTCCACGAACGTTCCTAGTGGTCTGCAGGGGGAAAAAAATAACCCTCGATAGTCACTCAAGATGTACAGAGCAGAGCTTCTCAAGCTGTAGTCCACGAACGTTCCTAGTGGTCTGCAGGTGGAAAAAAAACCTCGATAGCTTCTCAAGATGTACAGAGCAGAGCTTCTCAAGCTGTAGTCCACGAACGTTCCTAGTGGTCTGCAGGTGGAAGAAAAAAAAAACGTTAACACTGGACAATTAGTTGAAATAAAGTCAGTATTATGATTGTCTTTCTTGTGATGTTTAAATTTAAATAAAATATTTCTAAGAATGTATGACCCTATTTTTAACCCTGTTTATGGAAAGATTGGACAATGATTTTAGAAGTCTGGCATACCCACCAAGCCTGTTGTTTCACTGGAAGATTAAGAGATTAAGATATGACACTTAAAAAGTTGTAATAAACAATTACCAAAAATTATTATTACAAAATTGCACAAAAAAAGCACATAAACATGTATTTAGAAAATAAAATCTATTTATCTATAAGTCACTTTGACATTTGATTGTATAGTGTAACACTTGAATATAGTTTATAAACTTACCAGTGACTGTCAAGTTTGTTTTCAACATGGTTACAGTTTTAACAATTTTTTAAAATAAATTACATAAAATACTCTGTGTTGCTGTGAACAAAGAGACATCTCTTCATCAGGATGTTATTAATCTCAGACTTGTGTTCCCGTTTTGTTGTTTTCCTCCCCATGTGTTCCTTGTTTTCCCTCTTGTGTCATTATGCCCTTTTTTGGTTATCTTCCTGTTCCTGCTCCCTGAGTGTTTCCAATTTGATTCCAGGTGTGTCTTAATATTAGTTATCCTCCTCACCTGTCTGCCCCTCGTTATCTGCCCTATTTGAGTTCCAGCCTATGCGAGTCTCCGTTGTCCAGAATTGTTCGTCCTTGTGCTACGTGTGTGCCTGCCTGCCCTGTATTTCCCCAAACTAGAAGATTAAAGACTGTGTTTTGAATTTACTCCTGTGTCTCCTCGTTCCTC